GCACCTAGACCAGCTATCGCTTTTCCCAATCAACCAAATCATCTATCACCAAGACCACAGCAACAAGAACCTACGCCTAGACAAGTGGCTAATCATCAACCTCCCCAAACATATAGGCCACCACCACAAAACGCACAAAGCCGAATCCAATTCCAGCCTCCTTACTTAGCAAATGAGCAGCAGCTTCCAAGACAAGGTCCTTCTGTAGCTCCATTTAGACCTCAAACAAATGTTCAACGGCAGAATCCTTTCGGACCATCGCCATCTTTGAGCCCACATCCAAGCTCACATCCTCAATTTTCTAACAATCTTCCAGGTCCAATAAATCATTTTGGACCAACAGTTTCCGGACCACCCGCTCCATCGTTCCCCACATCTTTCCCGAGACCTAATAGTCCGCCTTCATTCCACCCTCGTCCTAATGGCCCTTCAACATTTGGCCCTCGCCCTCCTCAATTCGGTGGACCTCCAAGAACTGGTTTTCACACTGGACCCCAACGACCATTTAACCAGGCACACCCACAACATAAACCTCCGCAACCATTCTTTGATGAGCCCAAATACTTACAAGAGAATTATCATACCATAACTACTGACCAAATTGAACCAGCTAAAGACCAACAGTTGCCGGGCAGAAATCAACAAAACTTTAATTTTGTTCCACACCCTAGTCCAAGCCCAACTCCTCAGTTTCATGACCATAACCGTCAACCGATTATTCCAGTTAATCAGCAATTGCCTCAACAACGTCCACCTCAGCATTTCACAGAATCACAAAACAAGCCTACATTTTCTTTAAATCCCAGTAGACCCCCATTCTTCAACCTGAAACCATCGCCACCCCAAATTGAAAGTAACCGTCAACCTTTTGCTCAGCAACATCAACCTCAACATCCACCACAACATCAACCTCAACACCCTCAACAGCAGCAGTTTAGTTTCCACCAAGGACCTCAACCAGTGTCGCGTCCTTCTGTCCAAATTCCCGCTCAACACAATATTCAAAGCCAACATTCTTTCTCAAACCCTATATCTGCCTCGCCCTCTCCATCCCCAATTCCTCAGCATCAATTCCTCCCTCAACCTTCATCACCACCACTATTCAATTTCCATCCTCAGCCATCACCAACTCCTGAACAGCATTTCCATCAACCGAGCTTTTCCACTGAAAGACCGCAGTTCCAACAGCAACATGGACCTTCGGAACGGCCACTTCTGAATCGTCCAAATAACTTCCACGATCAATCCAATCTTCATCATCAACAGAATGTTGGACAATTCGTTCCGAATGGAGGTGAATTAGTTGCTGCTATACCAAAATATGAACAACATATCACCGTCAGCGGACCGAATGCTCAAACCAATTATAATGGCTTCAGTGTGGCTAATCAGCCTTCTCCTTCCCCATCTCCGTCTCCGTCTCCGTCTCCTGCCCCTACTGAACAAAGTTTCCATCATTTACAACAACAGCAACAGCAGCAACAACAACAACAATTATTTGATGCTGAACAAGAACAAGTTAGGTTACAACTTGCACAAAATGTTCAGAAACAACAGGAAGAAATACAACGCCTCCAAGCGCAATTATTACAAGCTCAACAGCAACAAAAACAACAACAACAAAACAAGCAAATTGAACAAGAGTACCGGCAACAGCAGTATGAACAATATAAGCAACAAGAACAAAATAAGCAATATGAGCAATATAAGCAGCAGCAACAAAACAAACAATATCAACAAGACTACGATCAGTTATTAAGGAATTTTGATCAGCAACAACAGCAAATTCAGGCTTCAACTCCAAGATCAACTTATTCTCAATCTCAAGAAAGATCAAGACCTCAGCAAAACTACGTTTCAAGTACGTCGTCGCCGCCATATTATCAATCTACGTCCAGAACCGTGGAAATAAAACCGACTACTCAAAAATATGTATCTTCGACGGCAAATTCGATCAACACTACCCCAGAAGCAAAGAAAGAGGAAAAGAAGAAAAAGCCCGCAATTGAACTACCTGATGAGGTCCCAGATGATTTGCGACAGCAATTACTGTCTTCAGGTATCCTAGATAATGCTGATATTAGCGTTCTGGACTACGATAAAGTAGGAGATACACCTCTGGAGTCGCTGCCTCCTGACCAGTTAGCTAACTTTTTCAGTGCAGGCGGTGGCCAGCAGATAGCATCCAGTGAGCTCAGACCCATTGTTGTTAAACCCAATGGCGATAGTATAGAATCTAGGATAGATGAAGATGTGGAGGAAGATCAGGAAATCGCAGCATCTGAAAATGTAGCTACTTACGTTGCTCCCCCTCCTTCTACCAATCAAGCCGTTGAAATGAAAGTGGTTCACTTTGATCCCAAAACAGCTGAAGGCCAGAAAATCGCTAAAGATTATGTAAAAGAGGATGCCACCCAGGTGGACCCCGTGGCTTTGAATGACAAAAAATACAATAGATACTTACCCTTGAAAGTAAGTGGAAATCAATTCCCTTTGCCTGATATTTTGAAGGGTAGAAAAGTAACGTCAGTTGTTGTGCTAGCACCAGTAGAAACGGAGGCGCTAAATGGAGATCACGTAAGGAAGGAGCGAGAAACATCAAGCTTGAAAGGAATCAAATTCGTAGCAGGCGATAGCTTACAAGATTTATTGAAACAACCAACAAAAGATAACTTTCAAAAATGGCTAGATGTTGAAAAGAAGACTGCTTCAGATTTACAATCAGTCATTCTCCTCGTTACTGGGTAATCATATTTATTTTTATTTCTTTTGCTTATTTCAGTAACTAAATATGATCGAATACTTTAAATATTAGTAGTACACAATGTTTCAAGATAACAATCCGACAGTCTCAAGTACCTAATAGCTTAAACTCAAATCTTTTGAAATACTTCATCCTTATTAATCCCGCCCTAATTATTAATTTAATATCTTTATTAATTTCAAATACGACTAAAATGTTGACTGCTAGAGTCCAATGTGTAAATTATTGAGTAAGTGTAAATCACAAAACTTGTATAATTTCCAGGACCGACGAGCCATCGGAAGAGAGAGAGATCTTCATGTACGATGTTGCTTCGGGAAATGTCAACAAGCTAAGTGGAGAACTGTCCAACGCATTCGTCGAAGCTGCCGAAAATAATTCACTGAGTAAAAACATCGAATCCTTAGCCATAGAAGGAGAAGGTACCCCAGAAAACTTCAACAAAAACGACGAAACAGATGAAACTGCTGAAGGATCAGAAAACGTGCCATTATTTTTAGATTTATCTGACGTTAGTTTAGATCAGGGAAATAGCAATCAAGTGTCAATATCCTCAGGATATAGCAAAACTAAACTCGGCAGATCGTTAAGAAGACATTCATAATTCGTGAAAGCCATACGGCAAACTCTGTAAATAGTATGATCTAATTAGAATAGTACGACTAAATTAATGGCGGCGTGAAGTTGTGTATAGTCTATTGCGAAAGTGATAATCAGTTTGTACAAAATAAAGTACCTTTTTTACAACTTTTATAGTTTTTTTAAACCTCATACTTATTCTATTTTTAATGTCAAAGAATTTGCTAACTCAATAACTCATCATTATTATTATAAAATAATATTTTCATAAAATCACAATCAACTTTGGTCAGATAATATGAAAGAAATGTAAAAAGTATCAAATGCAATGAAAATAGCATAAATTAGTTTTTCTACAAGTTTCATTTTAGGATCAAGCGATTCTAGCGCCATCATTATGACAGAATATGGCCTTTCAAAAGTAATCGATTAGTTCAATTGAATGTGTGCTCTGTACATCACTATTTTTATTTTTAATTGTTGGCAACACTCAGTCCCAAATGTCAAACCTATGGATTTATGGTGAAAAGGTTTTGCCGCAGAGTGAAATTCGTCGTTTTTATTTTTCATGACTTTTCCGATACATTTTAAGTTGTAAACATGATGGAAGGTTCTCTAAGTAAATGGACTAATGTGATGAAAGGATGGCAGTACCGCTGGTTTGTCCTGGACGAGAACGCTGGCCTGCTGTCCTATTACACGGTAAGTGACGTTTGAATCTTGCTTTTTGGTGCCGGAATGATGTGATTTATTCGTATTTTATTCTTAGGTAAACAGAGATTCAGCTCCTATTAATTCCAACATGTTTACGTGGAAACTCTGCGTATAATGCGTCGTATAAAAGTTTTACAGCAGAATGTGCCAATGTAGGTTTATTTATAAAAGTTACTCAGGTCTTTGAAATAAACAGTTAACTATTGCGACCTTTGTGACACTGACATTGTTTACATTTTCATGCCAATATTATTAAGCTATTAATGTGATTTATATTATGATAAAATTGATAGAAGAAACATCATTAGAACTAAATTAAAATTACTTGATCGGAGTAGTAGCCAGTGCCGTAACTAGCCTTTTATGCGCCCGGTGCGAGCTTTCAAAACTGCGCCCTTGAAAAATGCTTGGTCTGGTCATTTCTGCGCCCCACCAGGGTCTGCGCCCTGTGCCTGGGCACCGCTGGCACCGCCCTAGTTACGGCACTGGTAGTAGCGTAGAAATGAAGATTCAGAATCACAGCAATTATTTGTTAGATTGCTTTTTAATATTTATTATAACTCTTGTTAGATTGCTTTTTAATATTTTACAACCAGAAAGGCCAAACTAACTTGATGTTTTCAGATGAACATAACTTTGAATAATTTATTAGCTATTTTTATTAAAAGTTTTGCCGAATCTGATTATTTATCACTGAAATTTAATGTAAAGTAGATTTTCTTTGGTTGAGTTATACTAACATAGCTATTATTTAGATTATAATGTTTTTTACTACTATTATCTCATAAGGCCAGACTTCTTTCCACCTCAAATGTTTTAACTTAAGTTAATAATTATGAGAGATAGGTATATTCAACAGACTGTAATTCTGTTATCTATGAGTAGGCTGAGTTTTGAGTATTCTTGATGTCGTACAAATAAATACTAACGTTTATATTTTTATTCACTTATCTTTATTGTTAAACATTCCGTCACCATTTTTGTTTAATTTAGCCTTTTCATTTTGATAATTTTGTTTGAAGAATTCATAGAACATGTAGTATACGAAGATTACGTTTGGAAAGTACATAAACGTAACCCCAAGCGGAGCAGGGCAGCTCGGTAAAAATACTTGCGCAGAGTACACAAGCATTAATGTGAATTGGATCTGTAATAGAAAAAGATAAATGATAAATCTTTGGACAATTTCACACAGCGCCAGCTAGCCCCAAAGTAAGCAATTAATATGCTTGTGTTATGGGTGCTAGCTTAACGGATATATTACTTATATACTTTTTTAATACATACATTTTATACATAGTCACACCCAGACCCGTCACAGAAATTAAAATTCATCATTTCAATTTCTGCCCGGCCGGGAATCGAACCCGGGACCTCTCGGCATAGTAGTCCGTTCTGAACCACTACACCAAACGGCCGACAATTAAATATTATTTAACTATTCGTAGTGATTTATGTAATTTTAATACTATGAAGTCTTGTTTTCCAGTCAAATACCAGCATGGAGAAATAATGACTAGTTACAGTTACTGTTGATCTTCATTGTACTTTGGCGCCCTAACTTACTGTGGTAGGTACTTGGTGTATGGGATCACACAAAAAAAGTCAAAAATGTAATAAACCAATGAGGATCATTTCGATTTTTAGCTGTGAATGCAGATTTATAGGGCTAAGAAATCCTTAATACACAGTGCAAAAATTTTTGTTCTACGACAAAAATTGACGAAGTTATGGCCAAATTACTAAAAAAGTTCACTGACCGCCCGGCGCGGGGACGATGACGTCATTATATCCGATCCGAACGCTGCCGGCGTACTGCGTGGATAGAAAATATTTTTTTCTAGCAAAATTATCAGTTTTACTGGGTAAGGCTTGCCCCTCCCCCCAGGCTATAAGCTGGGTATGACTTATCCCCCCCCCCCCCAGGCCAGAAACTGGGTATTAGCATCATATTAAGTATTATTATGTTCAATACAAACAATCATTAAGTTACACTCACCCCAACCGCGTCTCCGCATTGCATCGAATCCTATGAAAATGTGGTTTTTGGACATAGCAATACTTATTTTTCACAATTTTTATTTTTAAAAATTACTGGTCGATAGGTTACTTTATTTTGAAGAATAAATGTTATTAAAAGTTTTTTTCTAAAACTGATAGTTTAGCCGGAAAAAAATATTTTCCATCCCATTAGTACGCCGGCTGCGCTCGATTCGGATATAATGACGTCACGCGGCCTTGCGTACGTTGACTTTTAGCGGCAAAAACGGCCTATGTTTATTACTTAATATCTTCGTAAGTAATGGTCCGATTTGGATAATTCAAAAAGATATATCTTTCTTATGTCTTAAAGATTAACGTAGATACTAGTTTTATTGAATTTTCTACAACAGTACTGATCCTCATTTAAAGCTAGAAAAAAATTCACTGCCTCAATTCTCAACCCAATAACTCCATTGCCTTGCCTTATTTAATTTTTAATTTGAAAAAATCTGTAACCAGAAATCTTCTTTTCTGATTTTTCTTTTTTCTAATTTAAAACACCTAGATTGAAACATTTATCTTTAACTTATTCTGTAGTAAACTCAATCCAATGCTATTACATCAAGCAACAACGAATACATCATTACACACCATTTGCATAATAGTGAGCCACTTCTTGTACCTAATGAGGTATGTCTTAATCGTAGGGCTTCCTTCAGCGGACAGTAAGTAGTAGCTGTACATTATGACGTGGACTGCATTGTTTATCATCGGTGAGAAAGACGTTATGCCACCTGGAAAACAAATAATAAATAAATTTATGTAAATAAATATGTACTTACTTCAAACTTAAATACAAAACTTAATATGCGTTTTCACTATGGTTTCAGTTCGATTTTGAAATATTTGTATTTTTTTAAATTACTTTAGAAAAATATAAACTTTCTTGAACATTCTTAAATAATAAAAAAGTGATGTTGTTAATTTGAGAATGGTATATTAGCAGTAGTAAGCAAGTAAAGATGCTTCAATCAGCTGCACTTTAGCGTAAAAAACACCAGAAGAATGAAAACACCAATTACAGTACCTGTTAATAAATAAATGCAACAAAGCAATTAATATAAATTCCAGAGAGTAACATAATATTCGGTTCAATGAATCCGCTAGAATGTGTACATTTCGCGATATAGCAGAAAAACAATCGTACGTCCAGTATTCAACAAACAATTTTTCAGTAGAATGTTCATAGCCTTAACAAAATGAAGGGTTTCCATTCTAACTTCTACTCTTAAGTTACCAATTTCAATTAATTAGGTAAGTAGGTAGGTACAGATATTTTTTGCCAAATATATCCAACCTATGCCCTTTTCTAAGGTTCAATCTCATCATCATCTCAGCCATAGGACGTCCACTGCTGAACATAGGCCTCCCCCAATGTTTTCCATGTTGCCCGGTTGGTAGCGGCCTGCGTCCAGCGCCTTCCTGCAGCGATGTCGTCGGTCCACCTTGTGGGTGGTTCAATCTCTATTACGTATAAAAAATATCATTTGACTAACAGAGAGTATGCTTTGTACGATGCTAATCAATATTTTGCGATATTTCAATACCAGAGTAGGTAGTTCCATAAACGTTGTCTTCCAAAGTATTTTAGGACCTTAAAATATCTTGTTACTGGGNATCGAGACTTATTAGCAATATCTTAATTTTAGTGGTAAGTCGACATTTCAAAAATGTCTTAAACTTAAACTCCAGCGCTAGTGGGAGGTCGAATCACCCTCACAGTAATACTTTTTGACTTCTCCAAGCAATATACACACATTATCGACGTATAAATAAAAATGTAATACCCGAAACGTTTCGGGTGTTACAGTTTTTAATCAAGAAAGAAACCTACTAAATTAGTATCATGCTCTGATATTAGTTAGTATTTGAAATCATTACTACCATGACCTTACTTTTACCAAATATTGTTATCCTAATCCATGTGTAAGGTACAATAATAAAACAAATACCTGTTTTTTTGTTTCGGGTGTTACATCGCCGAAGTAACAAGAAAACACACTTAGAACTTGATGATTATCAATTTTTTTGGGACTATGGCGCTACCTACCAATACTATGATCCTCATGATATGATACCTCAAATCATATAGTGGCAAAACGTTCAAATTCAAATTTTTTATTGCTTATTAAGTGTTTACAATTAGGTCTTAATCTAAACAATGAGC